GACATTACCGACGAAGACCAGAGAGGCCAGGACGGCCATTCCAGTCTCCCTTGTCCTTGTGGGCAATGTCATTCAGCCTACAATACCGGCCGCTGAGAGGCTGCTGGCGGAGCTCGAGGTTGAGCCCAGAGGCACAGTAGGAATGTCTTCGAACTCCCGCCCCCAACATTCCTCATTACTACCTATGGCTCTTAAGTAGGAAACAGTTACATTTTAGACCAGCAGCACAAACTAGCCCTTTGTCCTGCCCTTTCCTTTGAGCGCCACGTAAAAAAGTGTACACTTGCGGATTCCGAGAAGGCGCTCCCACGAAAAGACCTGCGGAGAACTGTACGGGTGACCAACTTCCCCATCTTTCGGTATTTTAACCCGTCCTGAGCAGTGTATTTTGCTTAAATGTTCAACGGTCAGGTGGAATTTCCGTACTTTTTTTACCCACACTGCTTTTGTGTTGCCCTTTGGTCTTGCTGATGGGCTGAGTTTTTTATTTGCTCTTGTGGGTTGTTATTGGTACCGGCGACCCCGTACCAACTCCCTGGATTACCAAGTTTTTTTTAAACCAGCCACATTTCTGCATGAATGCTTTCACAGTACCGGCTTATGCAGACTAGATCCGTTAAAGTTGAACTGCTGCGACCCGACCTGACCTCTGTCACTCAAGCTCTTATGATTTATCTCTTTGTTGCAGCGACCACCTGCCCCAGTTTTCAATTTTTTATGCGAACAGTAAAAACTTTGTGAACGAGTACAGGAAGTGGACTAACTGGTGCAATGTGAACCAATGTTTACTACTTAGTCGGCTCGAACAGACCACTCCTTGGCCGCTGTTATGCTATGGCAGGCAATCTCTTTTTTTCTCTCACCGAGTGCGGGGAGTCTAACGAACTCTCGTAAACTAACTAAGACGTTGACACTCACTTCGTCTCGTCTATATTATGGGTTACAGTGTCCTGACCTACAAACCGCAGCTGTATGGCTTTGAAAGAAAACATCTTAGCGATAGCAATACTTCTGTGGTATTTGGCTTAAGAGAATTATAATCCAGATGAGACGTCGCTGGAATGCATGATATCTAGTTGAGAGGGATTGCTAACAAAGACGAGGGATACTGGACTTGGCTCTCACCCTTCTCTCTACCTTATCCGAGTCCAGCCGACTGAGAATGCGATTAGACGCAGGGACCAGCGCGGAGTAGAACTGCCGTCTTGGAACTAACGCATGTGAGAGATGCCATAAGGGCCACGTTACGAAGGAGTCCTTGCAATCTGATCCCGTCAGCCCGTAGCCTTCCAAACCACGACCCCTAGCCCATGAGATGTTTCTGTGGACAGTGTCCTGGGAAAGGTGACGAAAAATAACCAGTTTGAAAAAAATCGACGAAAGCCAGATCGAACAACTTTAAAAGAGTTGTAAAACTTTAGTTTGTTTTTTTGTGAAGCGCGTACGGGCACAGCTATCTCCAACCTCTCATCCAGTTGACACACGTCCCGGCAATTTTTCCCATGCTGTGTTACAACATAGCGAAGCCGTAGGCTACTATATACGTCATATGTCTAGTTGTGACAAGTTGTGTATTAAATGGTGTCCTGCGATGTCTGATAAGTGTCTTGTTCTGCTCATCAGCTTACACCATGCTTCTGACTCTCGAAATCACCCGCTTATTTTGCCTTTTTCCATCTTAGGAGGGAAAACCGGTGGAAGAGGAGCCGACCCATGAGTGAACAATTTTTGTCTTCCAAAAATCAATTATCAAATGTGCCTGCTGCTTAGTACGGTGTCTTCCTTGCTTTTTCTTATGTCTTTCCCGCTCTTTTGTATGATTTTTCACAGCTTTTCATATTCCACCCGTCTTTTCAAAACTGCCTCCATTTGCTGTGTCCTTTTTTGACGATTTATACCAATCTACTTTGCTTGCCTTCTATTTTTCTCTGATTCTCTGGAGCCCGAGATCGTGGCTTGCGTTTGTGTCGCCTGAACCTTGTCGGTCCGTAATCGTTCCCCTGCTAGTTGGGGTTTGCTGTCTACTCTAGGGTTTTGAGTCTAGCCTCTGTCGTCACTGTGTCTAGCGTTTTCTGTCCTAGGCGCTGACCTTTTTCTTCCCAAACCAACACTGCGCTGCTCCAGCATATATTTGTTCAGCGGTAGATGGGCCCCATACCGATATTGTTACTGATTGTTTTACTAATTTTTCTGATTCAGCGATGATGCTCGTGTGAACATGGAAGAAGTCAAAGTCGATGGACGTACGTTTTCGATTATTCATAACCAGGCCTGGACAGTAAAATAAGTTACAGCACGTCAACAAGAGTTGAAAACAACCAATGAACACTGCTCATGGAGGAGGGGGTTGGGGGTGTTCAGGCATGTCAGGCGTCAGGGGGAATCTGATTCTGTTAAGGGGCTTGGTGAAGGGAAGATGCCAATGACCTACGCATATGTTTCGTAGCTGTAACGCGGCGCGGCAGGATGCAGGTATGTGAGGCCCAATTTGGGTCAGGACACAGAGGATCTGAACAGACGTCTTTCGCGAGCATAAGGTTGGGTTGGCTAACCGTATGGTTACCGCCTCTGCTCTCACAAGCACCCACAATCGCGCCAGACCATGTTTTGATTTACCCAGGAAAGATGATGCCCGCATTTGCGTCGATAGGTGTCTAGTCGTTCTACCAACATAACCTGCGTCACAGGAACAGGTGGAGGCGTAGGTACTCATTGAAGATGTCTGAAAGGGCAGCCTATCTTCATCTTCAGGACGAAAAAGCGGAGTCCCTGGGGAAATTACTTTTGTGTTGGCGGCCTTGCACGTGCGCGCAGTAACATTTACAAGTAGCCTTGAGTCCCATTATCGATGTTATTCTTATGATAACTTGATCTGAGCAGCCTCTTGGGTAGAGCGGACTAAGTCCTCCCAGTGTGAATTTTCTCCTTTAAAAAAGAAAATGAAGAATGCCTTTCCTTTCTAGTCGATTGGTGGAACAATTCCTCGAAAGTGTATCTCTCAAGAAAACATGGCCAGAAAGACACCGATTTCTGCAGTCTAACCGACTGCCCTGGGAGAATATCCTTTCTGGATACGTTGGACAACGAACTCGCTTTTATAGGAAACACTGCGTGAACATAGATGAACTGACGAGGTCTGCTGTGTTCTCCACGGCAGTGTGGGCGCAGGAATGGTGACTTCCTTTTGAATTAGTTTATAGTCGTAGCAGACTTGCGCAGCGCTGCCGCATTTCTTCCTCTCCTACCCACACTCGGCGTCATAACGGATTTAAGAAGACCGCAGTTAGCTGGCACGACGAGAACTCGCACCTAGGCGTGCCGCCACACCCGACTCGGGTCCCCCGGGTTGGGAGTGATATAGAGGCCACATTAAGAGGGAGCCATTGCAGCCTGACGTAGGCCACCAGCCGGCCACCCCACACCAATACACTGAACTGACTTCGAGATCCAAGTGATCCCGTCAATTGGCAACCTTTCAGGCCACGGCTTTTAACACGCCGTGGTACATTCATGCGCATCAGATTGTAGTGAAGAGCGGGCGTTCAGAGTTGGCCTCAGCTGGTCAACCAACTGATGCTGATATCTAGAGCGGTTGACGGACAAAAACAGCCCGTCTACACGTGCCGTACGCACGACCTGGCCCTCACAAGGCACGTCTGTATGTCATGCAGACGGTGAAGTACTCGGATCTCATAAGTAGCGCAGGGGCCACGTGGAGAAGGGGCCGAAGAACGCGCTTCCCAGTTACGTTAGACGCACTTAGTCCGTGCCTGCGTGTGATTTCAGGCGTGTTCATGAGTGGTGCATGTGTTGATGGGGAAATGTGTGATGTGAGAGTCTGTGGTGAAGGAGCTAGCGCGGCCGAACTCGCACCTAGGCGTGCCGCGGCACCCGACTCGGGTCCCACGGATTGGGAGTGACATAAAGGCCACATTAAGAATGGGCCGTTGCAGTCTGGCTCTCAGTCCACCAGCCGGCCACCCCACACCAATACACTGAACTGACTGCGAGATCCAACTTATCCCGTCAATTTGCCACGGCTTTTAGCACGCCGTAGTACAAGCATGTGCATCTGATTGTTTATAGTAAGGAACGTGCGCTGAGAGTTAACCTCAGCCGATCGTCCGAGCCGGTCGACCAACTGATGCTGAGATCTGGAGTGGCTGACGGTCAAAAACAGCCCGTCTGCACGTGCCTGGCCCTCACAAGGCACGCCTGTGTGTCGTGTAGACGGTGACGTACTCGGATCTCATAATTGGCAGAGGGGCCACTTGGAGAAGGGGCCGAAGAACCCTTTCCCTACTTACGTGAGATGCACCTGGTCCGTGCCTGTATGTGATATCAGGCGTGTTCATGTGTGGTGCGTGTGTTGATGGGGAAATGTGTGATGTGAAGTGGTCTGCAGTGGACTACGTCAGGTTTCTGTGGAGGCGCATGTGACCGAGTAGACCCATGCGGTGGCTAAATGTGCATGTGTAATGCGGCCAGTTGGGGCGATAGCAATGGGTGCATGTTGGTGCTCCAGGCACTGATTCACCAGCCTCTGTGCAATAGATTCGCAAGTGACCAAACCAAACCGATGCATGATCTGTATGTTCGTTGGAAATGTGGGTAGGACAGGTTGGGAGCTGCAGAATCGGCTGCCGTGATGTTGCTAGTGGTGGCCGCGTTGGTGTACGGGGAGTTGGCCGTGCAGGAGATGGAGGAGTTGTTGGATATGCAAGGCGTACTTGAAGTGACAGTATTGCAGTGAATTCCGCTGTTCTGTATATGCATGCGGTCGGATATGCCCATTCGGTGGGTGAATATGTGTGGACTGTGGAGATGGATGCGGTAAGTGTACACCGAGGTTCCTGGCACTGATGCAGTGGATTGGCAAAGAACCGATGCACGGGACTGATGTGCAATCGCAGTGAGGACAAGTGGTGATCGAGTCCAAATTTCCGGTGGTGAGGATCTACGTGGTAAGGGTGTTGGCTGACGGGGTTTCGGGTCCGTTCTCACAGGAAAGTGGGAGAGTTGGTAATCGTCGCCTCAGGGGTTTTAGCAGGGATGATGAAGCCGGTATTGATGGTGGTCGATGGCGGCGGGTCATCAGGAGTGGGATCACGGGTGGTGGGGGTGGTCGCCGGCGTGAAAGCGGTGGGGGCTGATGCAGGCGTGAAGATGGAGGTGCTCGAGCAGGCAGCCGGTGGGGTTGTTGGGTTGTTATTGCACTGGGTCCGGAGATGTCCGACGGGTCGATCCGCGCGCGGACTGTGAGTTGGCAGCGAAAGCATGTTGGAAGAGATTGAGTTGTGAATCGGAGGCGCTCGGGACTTGCGAGTAGCTCTTTTGGCTTTGGCAGCCGCGGTCAGGTTATCTTCGTAAACAAACACTCCAGTCATTACTGCCCTTTTCCAGACCAACCGGTCCAGGGCGAAGCCCTCCCAGATCTCGGGTTTATTGCTACGTGCTTGAGAAAGTTCTTCAGGATGTCCTTGTAGCGTTTTAGTCTTCGTCGCCCAGCGCCCGTAGAATAGTCCCTCATCGTCCATCCACAGGAGGTGGCCTCTTCATCGCAGTTGCAGTTTCCTTAGCATGACGTGGATGCTGAGGAATCCGGTCCGTTCCGAGACCGGATAACAGTTAACATGAGACTGAGGAGTGTTGGAGCGAGTCCGCATTCCCGTTTCACTCCATTAGTTACGGGGAACGATTTCACCAATAAGTACATCACGAGCCATCAGGAGGGACGTCCGCCATAAAAATGCTTCCTTATGAATGAAAAGAAGCTGTTCCCTGACCTGCCATTTCGAGCGGACCCCGCCAGCGGACTTATACAAAGTCCTCTGAGCCACATGTACTCGTACTCGCATCCTGCCACGCCGCGTTACAACAACGAAACATGAGCATTATTTACTGATAGATTCCTTCCCCATGCCCTTGGCAGAATTAGATTTTCCCTGATACCTGGCGTGCTTGAACGCCTTCAACCCTGTCATTCATGATTACTGTTTATTGGTTGTTTTCAACTCACTGATGTACTGTAACTTACTTATATTGCTGTACAGGCTTGATGATGAATCATTGAAAACGTGCATTCGATTAATCTGACTTCCACCATGTTCATTTGACACAAATATGAAAAACCCAGTGGGGTTCGAACCCACGACAACAAGGAGAAGGCCTAAATGCAGTCGATGCTCCCACCACCTGAGCTACGAGGTACAAACCGGGAGCCGTGAGTTTAATCATACCTACTAATCAATTGAGCCCATTGATCATCCGGTGGATTCTAGATTGATTACATATGAAATCCTGCCTGAGCAGTCAGCTTATTGTATCACAGTTAGCGGATTCCATATGTAGGCTTGGCGGGTAACTTGACCCAAATGCGATTGAACATACGGGTCACGGTCAGGGTCTCGTAGCTCAGGTGGTTAGAGCATTGGCTATACTCAAACCTTGCCGTTGCGGGTTCGAATCCCGGCTAAGTCGCTGAGTTTTTTCGCAACTGTTTCAAATAACTTATTCAAATCCGCCAAAACACTTACTAATTCTTCAAAGTCTGTTTGATGTGACTGTCCCTAATCTCTCGGTGTTACGGCTCTTATCTCGTCCTGTGAGCTGATTCAGAAACTCTGTGGTAGTTCCACAACTAGCGCAAGGCCCACGGGGTTTAGTAGGGACCTAACTGTAAGCACATTTTACAAGGTGCTTCCATGTGGTACTTGCTAAAACGCAAAATATCACGGGAATGACTGCTTTAAACGCCGATCATGATTGTTTGTAACCAAACTGGCAAAGAATCGTGGAGAGGCTTCCAGCCGAAGTAGGGCCCGGCTTGAAGCGAAGGATAGAACGATTTAAAAAGGTCGGACTAGCTCAAAACGCAACGCAGGCTTCTGAAAATTGACAAGGAGGAGTACTTGCAGGGCCAGCCTAAGGGCCAAAGCGTAAGTGTAGTCAGGAGTATTTGCATTAGTCGACATTGTGTATGACTGAGAGAGAACACTTCATCCATCTCATTAAGGACTATAAGCAATTCATAGAACTCCCAGCACTGACGGGGCACCGTTTGTCAGTTTAGTGGATTATATCCAGTCGCTCAGTAAAATACTAGTAACTGGCTGAGGATGGGGCGAGCAAAACTGGTTATATGCGCAGATTTAAGGCGAAGGCCGTTACGATCGGTCTGAACAAGAGTTCATGTCACTAAACAGATGCAAGTGGGGTTTCAAATGCCTGGGTTCCGATCAAGCGTAAGACTTATGGGTAGGATCCTTGAAACGCGTAAGACCCTATAGATGGAGGTGGATCGTCGTCGCGGTTTGCTTCCGTCATCGTGTAGCACCCGCTTGAAGTGCCTTTTGTCTTCCTGTTTCCTATTTTTGGCATATCGCAGAACTGACAAAGCTCGTCCATGTCTGAGACGACCTTTCAGTGCCCGGACACTAGGGGGACTCAACGAAACAGAAACCGGCAGTTCGTCAGTTCTGGACGACGACGCCCACGACTTGTCATCAAGGACTTGCGCATGAATTAGTTTACAGTGAGATTTACTTTCGAGGCATCCACCGAACTAGCCCCTCCGTCTTGCTCTGATGATAAGACGATGTCCCGACGATCGAAGATGGGCGTGGACGAGGTGGCTGACAGCTAAACCTCCCGTCTGCGCGTGCTACACACGACCTGATCCACAAGTCTACACATATCACGGTTCATTCAGAAGGGGTCTCGAGGCTCACATGAGTGGCAGTTTCATGGCGGCCACGGTTAGGAGTTGTTGCGGTCTGACTCTCAGTCCCGAGTAGCTCCGTCAGCTGATAACCTTCAGGCAATTATTGATGGCGCGTCATGATAGAAAAAGCGCGTTAGGTCTATTACAGTGAGGAATACGTTGATTTTCCGTGAGGATGGCGCTCCGCGCAGGCTCGGCCTCGTTTTACCCTCTCCTCTAGCCGAGTGGACTGGTCGAACCTGTTGACCAACTGGCGATTAAATGGGACACAGTGACTGATGTGGCCTGGAAGCATCCGTCTATGCACGTGCTGATCCCCCACTCCATCTGAGCAGACTTCGGCGAAATACTCAGTTCCCACATGAGCGCACATCCTCAAATACAACGTTCTGCTGCACACGACGCCAACAAAATGTACAGCATGGCTGCTGTATGAGCGATCTAGGCTGCTTTGATTTCTAGTGCATATGGGGTGACCAAGGCCACGAAATGACGCGTTGTGGGGAGACACGTCGACGATTATGAGGTCCGACACGCGTAGGCGGCATTTTCGCGTGCATCTTCGCTCTTGTCAGGTGTGGCTTTTTTCAACTACAATCTCAAGCTATTAAAAAATTCCATGAGCTAGAGCACTGTAGAAAGTTCATATTTCTGAGGAGTTGCTCATTGTTTCAAGAATGGTGTGCCTCCCTTAGGCTGGTGTTCTCCACGCAAGAATCGCCTGCTCCAATAAGGTAACCTCCCCACTGCGTAAACTAGAAAACAGGTAACAGATGAATAGGCAAAGTTTCTGTCATACACGGAAGGCGCGTTTTTCATACGTCTTGTGCCACTGCATGGCATAGCTGATCGTCCGAATACTTCGCGATTTTGCGCATTCAGCGACGAAAGCTAACTAGACGCATTCCAGGCTTTTAAGTAGTGCCTGTAAGGGGATATAGAAATTTCATCTCGTAGATTTCCTGTGCCACTGATTTCTGGCTGGTGAGTTAAGAAAGTTTCGAGGTCAGTTAGTCGAATCTTTTAGCATTCAGTTTAAATATGCCAACTTCCGTTTCGAACCTGAAATTATAGTCCATTTGAAGATATTAGAAAGCCGAAGATATTTACATGCAGAAGAGGTATCAAAAAATAGGGGAAACTGAGATGTCTGGCTCTCGTCCATTAGCCTGCCTTAAAGACCCGACCCGAATTTTGGATAACCCGGGGCCCAAGCATGCACACTTTTCCCATCGAGTTATTGAACGAGTACTCTTTCGTTAAATGACGGGTTTTCGTCCTGGTTTGAGGTGTTATTGAGTGACGACAGTTAATAAGCCAGAACTGTCCGTCCCAGCCTCGCCTTTATCCTTATTGATTCCCTAGGTATACATGTATAGATATCGATATGCGTAAAGATTCGAGGCCCAAACATTGTATCGCGTTCATCATCTCCCCGAGAAGAGGAAGAAGAAGAGAGGGCGAATTCATGGACCATATTGTATTCGAACTGAAGTTTCGGAAACTTCCTCGTTTCCATCATCAGAGTAGCGTACTTGTTGCTCCTACCGGTCTTGAGTTGTTCAGTCTTGCCGCTGACTGGCTTAGACCTCCCCGGGGCTGACCGCTGACAGGCCTGCGTGACCTTTGTTCCCTTTGGGGTCGGCGTAATTGTGGTCAAATCAACGTGCCGCTTGGCATCTCCCACTTCAGCCGGTGGACTGATCGGTCGTTGCTGTTCAGGTGAGCAGCATTCAGCTTCGCGGGCGTATCGGTGAGACAGTGTTCGGCCTTGGTCACATGACCTCTGGCCCCCAATTCCGCTCTTTTCCGTGAGCGTTGACTCTCGGTCCCGCGTGCTCGCTTGCCTTACTGGTCCTGCCCGGACTGATCCGAGCCTTGTACGCAGCGCCTGGTAGGCGGGATCTAGATCTATAGCTCGGTTGAGTGTACCAGCCGAGGACCAACTTTTGAGCACCAGTCTGGCCATCTTCTCATTGGCTCTGCCAATTACCCTCGCTTTCTCAAAGGCAAAATCGTGGTTCAGTTCTCTTATGTGGCCATAGACCAAAGATAGCTTGTCCTTGCGGTTGATTGCAAGTTGGTATTCATGCAATCTTGTACCGAGGCGTTTGCCCGTTTCACCAACATACCTCGCATTGCAGTTTAGGCATGGTATGCTGTAGACCACCGCCGACTGTTCTGTTGTTGGTAGCGGGTCTTTGGGCTTCACGATTTGCTGTCTGATGGTGCATTCTGGTCTATGAGCCACGCCAATCCCAAAAGGTTTCAGGATTCTTGCCGTTGCCTCTGATACGTTCTGCATAGATATGCAGATTAGCGTTACCGACAAAGGCAAGGGAGATTGGAATGGACATTTCTGGTTCATGAGCCATCGTCAGGCAGTTCTACCCAAACACGAAGTGTGGAACACTTGGGGCTCGGTCCCGCGACCTGTTGGCTAGAAGTCCAACGTCCTAGCGACTGAGCCACGAGCTCGCTGTCCTGTCAGTTGTGATCGGAAATATACAATGGCAGAAGTATTGCGTCCACCAGGTGGGGTTACCAAACCCCATCTTACCTAAAATTCTAAGACCGGGTAGTAGGACATGGACTGAAATTGCAGTTACCCCCTATCTAGTGAGGTGACTGACGGCTGAAAATAGGTCAGACACAGGCTTTTCGATTTTCCTGCCTTCACTTGTAATATTTGCTACCATAAGTCTAACTACAGGATAATTTTCAGCCCTTAGTTAGCATTATCATCTTAAGAGCTGTGCACACACTAGACAGTCCCAAATAGATCAAATGTGACAAAATATCCATTTGTTATAT